AAGGTTTAGGGTTTAGGGTCGGGGGTTTAGGGTTCAGGGTTTGGGGTTTAGGGTTTAGGGTTTTGATAGAGTAGGGCTCTACTTGTATGGGGCCGGTATGCAAGCTTGTCGGGGAGTTAAAATGATTCAAGATCTAGCACAAAGGGGGGCGAATGCTCACAGTTTACACGTCTCGGATTTGCGGCTTGGCACATGGACGTTCTTGCAAATTAAAGTGTCGACGCCTGGGCGTTACGAAGTCCTAGCGCCCGCCCTTGTGCGGTCTTGCGAGCGCATCTGTTTCCGCACATAAACCCTAATACCCACCTTACTCTTCCTGCGATAGGCGGGGTTTTGGGGCATCCACGTGATTTGGTGCGGTGTAAGAGTTCTTCGTTGAAGAGTGCGACGTTGGGGATTGTGGGGTGTACAGGGGTTTGGGGCGTATAACGTGTAGAGTCGTGACAGTCACGATTGGCAAACTAGGGATAGGCGCCGGGACTTATTTTTGTGATTATCTTATGGTTTTCTTATGGTTCAGGGTTTACGATTTTGATACGGTTCTGGTTACGATTTCAATACGGCTTCGTGGAAAGCACGGCTCGGAAAGCATCTCGGCTGCAAGTCCGAAAACAATATCAAAACCATAGCAAACACATCAAACCAGTCCTGGAGGAGGCTGGAGACGTATTGAAATCGTATCAAATTCGTATCCAAATCGTATACGTATCCAAACCGTATCCAAACGGTAAACCATAACAAAATCATAAGAAAATCGTAACCGGAAGGATTCCTGAAACCATATCAAAACCATATCGAAATCATAAAAGCAATTATTCCTTGACATCTGGGTTTGCCGACACTCTGACTGCCATAAGTGTAGAGGTTTCGGGCATAAGGTTTAGACGGTCTAGCCCATGCAGGTGCCGATGCCTACTTACGGGTGCCTCTCGTTCTCCGAAACAGAACCCACAAAATCCATGCAGCCTCCATGCAAGCAGACACTGCTGGAAACCATGTTGCAGCCTGAACCCTAGATCCTACATAAAGCCACTGAGCTAAACCCTGAAGTACCAGCACCGAGGGCATCTTCCACTTGAGAGAACCTTAAACACGGGGCCCTGAAACCTGCTTTGGTGTGTAGGCAGGCGCAGCCGTCATGCCCACATTTGAAGGGAGGATTTAGGCCTTGAGTTTCGGATTTTCGTGCTGAGGATTGAGTGCAAATCTTCGGATTAGCATTTCAACTGTTCCATCCCCTATACTGAGTGAGTCACTATGAAAGTAACCTTAAGAGTCGTAACCTTTTCAGAACCCTTCAAAGGAAGGCTATACATCCCCTCATTGGAACCCTATAATCAGCGTTTATAGCTAATTAGGCCGCCACCAGTTACATCCTGAATCTTGAGGGTGGCGCTGGCCACTTTCCTGCACCAGCGCGGCAGCCAAGCAAGCACAACCTCATGCTGCTTGACTGAGGGTTCGGGTTTAGGGTTTAGAGTTTAGGGATTGTAGGGACTGCTACAAACCCTGCATCCTTATTGAGAGTTCTGACACGCTGCATGCGTAAACGGACCTTAATTGCTGACACTGACAACCTTGCTTACAACTCGGATTTTGCAGTAACGACCGCTTGGTCGTTTCAGGCAGTTGATGTGTAGGCTTGATACCACAACAAGCAGGATGCCGCTAGATTCCGGCACGCATCGTCAGCGACATGCCATGGGTTCGCATTCCGAAAAAAATCCATCCCCGGAGCGCATGGGTGTCAGAGGGGTCGTGCCCTCGATTTCCGTGTAGTAGCTCGGGATGGGATCGGATGGGACAGTACACGTGGCTCCCGGGAAAGACCTCGCACAGCCACCGAAATGCGTTGATGTTGTAGACATCCGGAACCTGGCCCTGCAGCACGTCGGGAATCAACTGACTGCCTCGCATCGCGTCCACCCCGTCCACAAAGCGAACGCTTCGCGAGATCGGGAATGTGTTGCTCGGCATCCCTCACCGAGACAAAGAACACGGAGCATGCACTATGCACCCTAAACCCTAAACTCCCTAAACGGCCCTAAATCCTAAACCCTAA